AAGATGATTGGATCCTGGGGGCCCTGTGCTCGTCAGTGTATTAATCCATTGATGAGTTTATGGCTGAATGTACTGTTAGGAGGTGAGCCTGGGTGGAGGTGGGTCGCTGCAGTGTATCCTCAGAGGATATGCTTGTCCCTGGCTCCTCCTTTTTCCCTCCACTTCCTGGCTGCCATGGGTTAGGCAGCTTTCTTTTCCATGCCCTCTGCCATGCTGTTACGGCTTTGGAGATGGATGAGGTAAATGCTGGTGAGGATGTGGACTCTTTGTACATTATTTATTGGGTATATATCAGTGTAGCCATTCATGGAAAAGACTATGGAGCTCCCTCAAAAAATTCAGGATGTAGCTATTATAAGATCCAGCAATTATACACACACACACATACCACAGAATATCATTCATCCTTGAAGAAGAGGGAAATCCTGCTCCTTGTGACTTGTGAACCTGGAGAACATTATGCTAAATGAAATAATCCAAATGCAGAAAGACAAGTACCACACAGTCGCCTATGCTGTTGACACTTGTTCATTACTGAAATATATTGTTGATTTATAGTTCAGAGGTATAACATTAGCTGGTAATTAGACTATTTGATGCTCTGAGCCTAAAATTCAACCACCTATTGAGAAATAAAACAGGCATCTCTGGATGTTATCATCCAAAAAATAAATATATAAGTAAAATAAAATAAAACTTACAGAAACAGAAAATAGAAAGGTGGTCACCTGGGATCAGAAGGTGGGAGAAATAGATATAAGTTGTAGAGATCCAATATTCTTGATGACTAGAATTGATAATAATTGTACAAATGAAGTTTGCTAAGAAAGTAGATCTTGCCAGGAATTTAGCTTAGTGGCACCTCACCTGCCTTGCAAGTACAAGGTCCTGAGATTGAGCCCCCATACCAAAAAATAAAAAAAGAAAGAAAGTAGATCCCACACATAAAACAAGGCAACCATCTGAGATGATGGATATGTTAGCTTGATTGTGTTAATTATTTTACAATGTATATCAAAATATAACATTGCATATCTCCAATACATATTTCTTTTGGGTTTGTTTTTAAGCACTGAGGATGAATGCAAGGCCTCTTGTATTCTGGACAAGCACTCCAGTAACTACAGCCCCAGTTCAAATGTACACCATTTTTATTTGTCATTTATACTTTAGCAAAGCTGGGGGGCTGGAAAAGTACAATTTTGAAAGGGAAATTTTTATTCCACAAAAGTCTTGACCACAGGTGACAGCTGGACGTAGGAAAGAGACTTTCAGGGCTTTTTTTTTGTGTGTGTGATACTGTGGGGGTCAGGGCAAGCTATAAACGGTTGCATGTACAGAATGTTCTATTCTTTCTTATTAGCAGAAAGTCTTTTCCTTTTTCCCTGTCTGCTGCCCTCTTGAGTCCTGCAGATATGTAATACCCCCTGGAAAGTGCAGGGTGAGGTGTGGGTGCCCAGATTTCCCTGTCCTGGCAATGTTTGTGGTGATTAAAGTTAGTTAAAGATTTCAAAGTCCTGACAGGTATCTAGGCAGCAGGATCTCCATGATGAGGGAGCATCTGAAGGAGTCCTGGGAGGGGGACTGCTGGATGTAGACAGAGGAATTAGGGCTGTTATCTGTGGACCCTCTGAGGTGCCAGCCAATGGCTGAGGTTTAGGCTTGGGTTCCTGCTTTCTGAATGTTAACGTTTACAGTGTAATGGGGTTAATGTAGCATTTAAGGTCAATCGCAAGGTAAATATGTATATGGAAAAATTGGCCACTTTCACTATTTAGGTAAAGTATAATTTTCACTGTAAAATCTGTCATCATTGGCCTTGTGTTGATTGTAAAAGTCATCATTGCTACCATGATTGTTACTATTGTTGTATATTACAGGTTTCTTTCACTGACACAAGATGCAGACCTTTAAAGGGACAAGTCTTTTACTATAATGTTTCAAAATCCTTTGGGATCTAGTTTCCCTATACTAGGTATTAAGTTGTGATTAACACTGTGCCTATTATAGCATTTAAAAACACTGAATGTTAGGTACTTCTGTAAAGGCCTATTAAAATTTAATTTAGATATAACTGTTAACCTTCTTATATATAAATAAAATACCTTCCCTAAAGATAAAAAGTAAATCTCATTAAGATCCCTTGGTGAATTCCTTATATATCTTGAAAACAGAGCTAGGGAGATATTGTAGATGAGAGTACTAGAGGGGAATTCAGAGAGAAATATTCATTCATTCATTTAATAAATATTTATTGAGCATCTATTATATGCTAGGCAGGATGTTAGGTGCTGAGTATACAGAAATGAGCAAGAAGGAATTATGATATTTCTGTAGACCTTGGTTTTTCCATTCCCTGAAATAAATATATTCATTTCTGATGCTTATATATCACTTTGAGATGATGATAATGCTCAGTGACTTTTAAAAATGATGCTAATTCAATTCAGATTCTGCTCACAGTTTGAGAACCTGCTGAGGGCCTCTGTGACAGTTTCACATGTGGTTATGCCATTTGATTTAATAAGAACTGCACCTTTTATCTATCTGCTCAGCCTCTCAGAACATCCTGCAAAGAAGGCAGAAATTCACCACTTGTTAACAAGAGAGCAGAGCTTAGAGAAGCCCAGTGAGTTGTCCAAAGTACCGTGTTGGTCAGTGGAAAGGTTGGGACTGGAACCCTTTGTTATAGCAATGAAAGTATTTTTTTTTCTATTTTAGGGAGATAGTCTGTATTTTAAAACAGTTTAATAAAAGTTGGGCTGGGGATTTAGCTCAGCGGTGCCATTGCCTGCCTTGTAAGCACATGGTCTTAAGTTCAATCCCATGTACCAAAAAAAAAAAAAA